AAAAAAACAAAAAAACCAAAAACAGCACTTTGGGAGGCTGAAGTGGGTGGATCACTTGATATCAGGAGTTTGAGACCAGCCTGGCCAACACGGTGAAACCCTGTCTCTAGTCAAAATACAAAAATCAGCTGGGATTGATGATGCGTGCTGGTAATCCCAGTTATTCGGGAGGCTGGGACAGAACTGCTAGAATCTGGGAGGTAGAGGCTGCAGTGAGCTGAGATTGTACCACTGCACTCCAGCCTGGGTGACAGAGCAAGACTCTGGTCTTAAAAAAAAAAACACAACACAATAAGACCTGCTTCTGCTCTCTTGGCTGTCCACCATGAGACAGCACAGGAATACAGCCATCTGCAAACGGGAAGAGGGTCCTCGCTAAAACATGACCAGGTTGGCACTCCTAATATCAAACTTTCAGCCTCCAGAACTGTGAGAAATAAATTTGTTGTTTATAAGCTATGCAGTCTATGATACTTTGTTACAGCAACCTAAACTGATCAAAAGACTATTAAAATACTACTCTAGAAGCTGGGTGCCATGGCTCATGCCTTTAATCCTAACAGTTTGGAGGCCAAGACAGAAGGTTTGCTTGAGACCAGGTGTTTAACACCAGCCTGGACAACATAGCAAGACCCCATCTCTACAATAGATTTTTAAAACTTAGCCAGATGTCTTGTGGCAAGCACCACTGGTCCTAGCTACTTGGAAGAATGAGGCCAGAGGATTGCTTGAGCCTAGAAGTCTGAGGCTGCAGTGAGCTATAATAGCTCACTATACTCCAGTTTGGACAGCAGAATGAGACCCCGTCTCTTAAAAAGAAAACAAAAACTATTATATAAATATGAATTCCTTGGTTTATTTCATTTATTTCAGTATAACTAATCTGACTTTTTATAGGAATTTTACCATGATTAAAGAGCTCTTACCTCCAGCGAGCATTGCAGTAAGTACTATTCCACAAGACCAAACATCAACCGGTTCTGCATGAAATTCTCTTCTCTTCAGAAGTTCTGGAGCAACATATGGTAAAGTACCACACATCTTGTTCAACAAACGCTCACGATTATTATACCGAAATACTGTTGCCAAGCCAAAGTCTGAGATTTTGAGGTTATCTAAACCAAAAGAAAAAAAGACGGCACTGATGGGTCAGGAGATCGAGACCATCCTGGCTAACCCGGTGAAACCCCGTCTCTACTAACAAATACAAAAAACTAGCCGGGCGAGGTGGTGGGCGCCTGTAGTCCCAGCTACTTGGGAGGCTGAGGCAGGAGAATGGCGTAAACCGGGAGGCGGAGCTTGCAGTGAGCTGAGATCCGGCCACTGCACTCCAGCCTGGGCAACAGAGTGAGACTCCATCTCAAAAAAAAAAAAAAAAAAAAAAAAAGTTTTGCAAACACATATACTTACAGGAATTAAGTTTTATTAAAAAAAAAAAAATCACTGGTGTTACTTAAGGTTTGTAGAACTTCTCTTAAAATAAGCAAAATAGACCAAATTTTAAAAAATATACATCATCATCTATGCTAAAAGTAGAAAAAGGCCTCATCTCTTCTATTAACTTAAAAGAAGTATAACCAACATGCAAAGCAGTCTGGACCAGATTAAAGCAAGAGGTTGGAGTCAGAAGGTGCTACCCTTCTGGAAAAGAGCACTCTAAACCTAAGCTGAAAGCAAAGCAAGGCCCTTCATCAGGTAGGGTGGAAGGCAGGAAGGAAACATCAGTAATACGTTAGGCACAACTTTCTCAGCAGCAAGCAAATCCAGGGAAGAAAATATGTGAAGACAAACCAAAATTTAACAAACCACAATAATTTTTTTCTTTTTCAAAGTAGGGAGTCTGAGAAAAAGAGGAAAAATTCTGTACAAAAAAAAATTCAGAAGACCAAACATACACCCTAACTTCCCATCTTCAACACACAAAAACTGCAGGCAGGACTTAACTTATATTTAGTGAAGATCTACTATAACTTAGTGACAGACACTATGCCAGCCAATGCAGGTAGCAGATAAATCAGTGAAGACTGACAACAGAAAACTGTTATGAAGGTTATAAAAATATAGAGCACTACAAGATCTTAGAGCAAAGGAATCTAACCCGGTCTTAAGAGTTAGAAAAGGCCTTCTATTATCCGAGGGCAATCTGGCAAAACATACTAAAATGTGAAACATTCACTCTTTGAACTAGCAATTCCCACTTCTATATCCATAGAAATAATCTTGTAAATTCACAAACATAAGAATATCCATAGCAATATTATTTGTAAATAAATGTCCATCAATAAATGATTAAATCTTACAGTACGTTTGCACAATGGAAAATGTGGAGGTAGGTTTTGAAAAAAATCAACAAGGTATATCTATACATACTGACATGAAATCGTGCGTAAGTGGGACAAAAAGGCTAACGGCATAAAAAGTATTATAGCATGACCCAATTTTTATATTGGCCCTTTACACAAATTGATAAAAGTCATCACTGTTCTATTTTATTTTTTAAGTTAGAAGCAACTTAAATGTCTCAAAATAGGGGACTGATTCTTTAAAAATCAAGTACATTCACACAATATGTAAACCAATGAAATGTTTACCTCTATCTGACTGAGGAGGTAGCTACTGTGACTATCCTTTTTTTTTTTTTTTTTTTTTTTGTTGAGAAAGGGTCTCACTCTGCTGTTCAGACTAGAGTGTAGCAGCGTGATCACGGCTTACTGCAGCCTTGCCCTCCTAGGTTGAAGCGATCAATCCTCCTGCTACAGCCTCCCCAGTAGCTAGGACTCCAGGTGTACACCACCATGCCTAATTTTAAAAAAAATTTTTCATAAAGACAGGGTCTACGTCGTCCAGGCTGGTCTCAAACTCCTAGGATCAAGTAATCTTCCCACGCCAGCCTCCCAAAGTGTTGGGATTACCGGCATGAGCAACTGCATCCAGTTATCTTTTTAATAGCTAAATATGACACTATCTGGACAAACCACCAAGATTGAGTTCCAAATTACTTATAAGTAGTAATCACTTAAAATACTAATGGATAACTAAAATATTCTTTCGACTTTGTTTTGTTATGTCTGCAACATAATACTGAGCTATGTTACAGAATTGCACATAATAAAATTTAAATTTAGGAATATGTTTAGCTCTTAGAAAAAGAAAGGAAGAATATATTTGTGATGAAATAAACAGGAGGGCATTAAATACTGGTAACATTTTATTTCTTTTTTAAAAAGACTCCTAAATATTAAATAGAAACAAAGAATTATATCTTGTATATTAATACAAGATACAAGGAATAACAATGTAATAAACACCCACTCACTTTAGAAAACAATGTTCTATTTCCTTTGAAATCTGTAAATACTTCCTTACATACATTCCCTCCCTTACCTTCTTAGAGGTAACCACTATTCTGAATTTGGTTTTATCACAACACCCTTGCTTTTCTGCGTGTTTTTTTCCTCCATGTTTACATCCTCAAACAATATACTAGGTTTTACATATTTTTGAACTGTGTATAAATAGAATCAGACCATATGAATTCTTTTGCAACTGTCTCTTTTTGCTCTACATCATTATATACCTGAAATTCATCCATGTCACTGCTTGTAGATATAAGGCATCCATTTCATAATTTGTTGATAGGCATTTGGGTTATTTAGTTTTCTGCTATATTAAAAACATCGCCACTGTGAGCATCCTTATATACAAATAATGTTGTCTTTTTAAACCAGGTGGATTGATACATATCTATTCACATTTCATTATAATATTATACATAAGAATTTTTGTGTATCTGAATTTTTTAAGTTTTAAATAAAGATTTTTATGTTATAGAAACTCAAAGTAAAGGGGTAAAAAGTAAAATCCATATGCACGTAAGAAAATAGCATGTATAGGTTGGGTGCGGTGGCTCACACCTATAATCCCAGAACTCTGGGAGGCCAAGGGAGGCGGATCACTTGAGGCCAGGAGCTCGAGACCAGCCTGGCCAACACGACAAAACCTCGTCTCTACTAAAAATATAAAAATTAGCCAGGTGTGGTGGCTCAGGCTTGTAATCCCAGCTACTCAGGGGCCTAAGTCATGAGAATCACCTGAACCGGGGAGGCAGCGGTTACAGTGAGCCGAGATCATGTCTCTGCACTCCAGCCTGGGCAACAGAGCAAGATTCTGTTTCAAAAAAAGAAAGCCAACCATTTGTTAAGCACTATTCTAATACTAAGAATAAAACATCAAACCAGACAAAAACTGCCTCATACAGCTGATATTTCTTTTTTGATTCTGACCCTATAAGCTAAAGCTTTCGCTATCCATCCTTCTCAATTTGATGACATCCAGAAAATATAACTAAATTTCTTATCTATTTATCCAAGTCATACATAAAAAAAGAGTGAACAGGACAAGACTAAGGTCCAGGGTATTCCACAGGAACTTCCCTTTATTAATGCATTAAAGAATTATTTTAAACTATTCTTGGCCAGGCATGGTGGCTCATGTCTATAATCCCAACACTTTGGGAGGCTAAGGCCAGTAAACCGCTTGAGTCCAGGAGTTCAAGACTAGCCTGAGCAACACAAGGAAATTCCATCTCTACAACAAATTAAACATTAGTCAGGCATGGTGACACCTGCCTGTAGCTGGTCCTAGCTACTCGGGAAGCTGAGGTGGTAGGATCGCTTGAGCCTAGGAGGTCAAGGCTGCAGTAAGCCCTGATAATACAGTGTACTCCAGACTGGGCGACAGAGTGAGATCCTGTATCCAAAAAAAAAAAAAAAAAAAGTATTCTTATACATATAGTGAGCTAGGCTTGCACCTAGGTCAGGTTTCTCTACCTGATCCGCAATTGTATTGCATAATGAGACTTGTGATTTCCAAATATACTAAGTCTCCAAAATTTCCTTGATTTTTCAGATTTTGTCTGGAAATTCCAGTAATGCAAAAGACTTGATTTTGCCTTGTATGGCTATGTTAAAATAACTTAGGTACCAGTGATAAAATGCTAAACTTACCCCTTTCATCCAACAGAAGATTTTCTGGTTTAATATCCCTGTGAGTTATTCCAATACCATGCAGATAAACCTAAGAGGGATGCAGAGGGAAACACACTAGAATTTGGTAATGTAATGTATTCATACTAATTTTAAATAAAAGGGACATGGACAACTATACCTACCACTCCTGCCATGAGTTGATGGAAGAACCTCTGAGCATCTTGTTCAGGCATGCCTATGTCTGGCTCTAAAACAAGTATGAAAGTAAGTTTATTGACTAAATATAATCAGGTAGCAACCACATAGCTTCTTAATTTGAAGCTTAGACATTTACAAATGTACTTAGGCAAACAGAAGCAAATGCCAACAAAAGATTCAGGAGTCCACTAACACATAGAGGGCTTAACTCACATTTACCTCTGTTAGATGGCAAAAGTAGTATTACAGAAAAATTATAAAGAGAAAAACCCATATCCAAATCAAGAATGTAAGCCATGCCTTGAAAGCCCCTGCTTCCTCTTATACTAACCCTGATTCAGTAACCTTCAAATTCTCCCCTATTTCTTCTAAATGCTATGCTAATTATTTTTCTCATTCTTGAAATATAATGCCAAAGGGGAAGTCTGGGCAAATCTAAGCCAATTTCACTAAATATTTTAGAGATTATACTTCTTTCATTATTTAACTTTTTTTAGAAATAGGGTCTTGCTCTTTCACCCAGGCTGGAGTACCCTGGCGTGAGATCATAACTCACTGTAACCTGGAACTCTTGAGCTCAAGCAATTCTCCTGCCTCCTGAGTAGCTAGGATTACAGGCATGTACCACCACACCTGGCTCAGATTTAAACTTCATATAGTCTCACAGTACAAAACCACGAATGCCTGTGAGGTCCTTCATGAAACACAGTTTCATTATGAAAATTCTTTTATCAGTTATCTTTTTATATTTTGATCTCTCTCATTAACTCCATTTCTTTTACCCTCAACTGTCTCCTGAGTCACACTGGAGATCCTAGTACCTCTTTATCAGTTTTTAACTGTTAATACAATAGCTTTAAATTATAAATTTACATCCAGATTTATTTTATGTACTTCTCAGTGTTCTGAAATATCAGTCCTTTGATTCAACATAGAATGTTTAAGTATTAATAGCAAACACAGATTTACTTAATATACAAAAAGCAATCCTAGAAAATTCTCAATTATTTCATGTGAACCAAGAGGAAACAGCATGCTATTTTAGATCTGTAAATGTATACAATGATTTCATATAACTAGAATGTCTACAAAGAAAAAATTGTGTAGGCAATACATTGCATTTAGGATACACTGCATTTATGATGTACCATAAAACTACATTTTGTCACTCTTAAATTCTGTAAGACACCAATCTTAAACCAAAATCACTTATATAACTTGGGAAAGAAGTTTTCTTTCATTGACTCTATATATGCTTTTATGTATTAATACCAGTAGGAAAAGTTTTTTAAAGATAATTTATTCCAATTTCACTGTTGCATGAGCAATTTTGAAAGGACAACGACCAAATAGCATGCCCAAGATTTAAAAAACAAATTTAAAAATTCGTTTAAAATAATTATCTTAAATTTCTTCCATACCTATTCTGTCAAAAAGCTCTCCTCCACTACAGTACTCCAGAAATAAATATTGGATATTGCCTTCTCTCCTGTGACCGTAGAATTTTACTACATTTTCATGATTTAGCATTTTATTGATACAGATCTCTTTCTTAATATTTTCTGGACAGTCTACGGCACGCTTCATATCTACAATCTTCACTGCGACTGCTTCTTCAGTTACTCTATTCACAGCAAGTTGAACTCTAAAAAGGAAAAAAGTTTTAACATTACAGAATTCCATTTCTTCTAAAACTTCCAAAGATTAAACATGACGCATCCAAAACTATTTTACCTTTATTACTTTTTCCACAAAAGAGAAACCAAGGAAGTGGTTTCTGCTATGTTCTCAACAGACACTACTCCTTTCTAAAATGTGAAATACAATAGCTAACCCTCCAAACACGTCATTATGCTGTCACACAAGTCATTTAATAAACGCTTCATAAAATAGACTGAGGTAATTCTAAGCCACATCACATATATACATGTTCTACTCACATACTTTTAAGAGCATTAATCCCATATTATATGTGCTTGTGTAACTGTCCTAAGCTCCTATGGGGTAGATACTACTATTGCCACCCTAAAGGTGGTGAAGGAGAGGTACACAATGACATTAGGAAGCTTGCCTAAGATCACAAAACAATGACCAGTATGTGACAGAGCAAGGATCTGAAACCAGGCCAGTATGTGACAGAGCAAGGATCTGAAACCAGGCAATCTCCAGAGTCTGCTCATTAATCACGATGCTTAAACTCTGAGAAGCAATGTGTGGGCACGAAAACAGTAACTTCGTGTCCCTTCCAGCTCTTTACAAAGAAAACTTTTTTTTTTTAAGGGAAGGAAAAAAATATTAATCCTAGCAAAAAGACTGTGTAACTTCAGCTGCCAAAAATCTTGGATCTCAAACATCTACCTTCTAAATCACCAGAGTATGAGACTCCAAAACAATGAATATGCACTCAGAAGACGAAGGCAAGGTTAAAAGAACTCACTCTCCATAGGCACCTTCTCCCAGGGTTTGCACCAAGTCCCAGTCTTCCACAAAGGGCACTGCCATGACTCCACCGGAGCTCGGCTGTAAAAGGCAGGAATCCAGAAAAGATGGAAAGTGAGTGTAAGATCACCTGTGAAGCCACTGTGCCTCGCCTCTCCCCAGGATTCCCCACGAAAAATAACAGCTCTTGCCTTCCCCTTATATCTCATCCACATTTATCCAAGTCTTTCAACCACGAACAACTATTCTAAACTTGGCCATTTTGTCGTGTAAATCACAATCGCCATTCCCACACACACCGAAGGTTGAAATTCTGCCCTCCTCAGGCCTCAGAGGAAATTAATCGTTGTGGTGAAGAGGTGAGAGACAAATGCTTTCCGGTGAACGACTGGGGAAGGAGGAGGGACAGGTGGGAGTCTGGGGAAGAAAGAAAGGGGATAGAGGGAGCGGAACCGGGCAGAAGACGCCTGCGGCAGCACCTCCTCCCAATTGCTCAGTTCCAATTCCCATCTCCATCCACACCCCCACCCGTCCCAGAGGTCGGGGCGGGGCCAAACTGCCCCGAGAGGCGGAAGGAAGGGCTGGGACCCTTCCTTGGGGTTCTTAGCTAGCAGTGTGTTAGTCCCTCCTGCCCCCTCTCTACAACGGGAATCTCCTGGTACCATTCCTCCACCCTCCGAAACCGCCCCTCCGCAGGAGTCTCTCCAATCCCCTGCGCTAGTCAATGCTAACTTTCTCCCACCGTGCCCTCCCTCGCTAATCTAGACCCCCGAACTCCTTCTTTAGAAGCCTTTCCTACTCTACCGGCCGCCCCTGCTCACCGGACTGTCCTTTGCCCACCACTGCAGGAATCCAAATGCAGCGCTTTTCCCGCCAAAACTTGCTGGCGTCACGCTGCCGCAAACTCGCGCACCCGTGCCGTAAAGCAAGACAGCGCGCGTTCCCGGGTCTTGCCTCTGAATGTCGGCGGCTCCAAAAGACTGACGCCGAGAGGTTGCCGCTCCCGCCCAGAGTTGCTTTACAGTCGGGGAGAGATTCTGGCTGAATAGGTTTAAGGACGGCGGACCGCATCGGTGCGAATTGAGCTCTGGGCCCAAATATGAAGTGGCATCCGGCATAAGGCTCGGCTGGGCGGTGCTCGAGCGCCTCTGGGTGAAGCCCAGGCCTCCATGCCGCGGGGTCGCGCGACCGTCCGCGCTGCGCTTCCAGGCGGGTCTGCGGGCTTAGCTCCTGGCCGCTCTGGGCCTGAAAAGCTGCACTACCACCTGCGAGAGGCCACCGGACAGGACTGTGAGGATCAGTCAGTGCTGCAGAGTGCTTTGTGAACTTCAGAGTGCTGTACCCGTGGTGCTGGAGCCGAGAAACTAGCAGCAGCAGCTGAGAGCTGACTGTGAAGAAATGAGAGGAACTCCGTGTTGGGAGCGAGAGGCATCGAAAGGACTGGCCACGCAGTCAAGTCTGTGTGGCGGGGGAAACTTCCCGGAGAAAGAAAGCAGTTTATTTTGGAGCTTGAAGTCGGGATAACCAGTTTTGCCTTTTTTCTGTGAACCAGCTCCAAAGCAATGCTTTAGTTCAGCCCAATCTTTTTGCAGGAAGACCATCTGCTTAGCTTAGTTCTACAAAAGTTTTCATTTTTAATGTGCAAAAAACAGGCGGGGAGAGCCAAAATAAATTTTACAATGCAAATTTAAAAGCCGCGAACGTCATTTAAATAGAAAAGTAAATCTGAGGAAGGAGACTCGAGAACAAAATAGGAAAAATTGAAATAAGTATTCTCTGACAGTAAACTAGACTGGAACTCAAGGATAGGCAGGATCATCTCCATTACATTCTCCAGCACTGGCCGGGCGCAGTGGCTCCTGCCTGTAATTCCAGCACTTTGGGAAGGCGAGGCAGGAGAATGGCTTGAGGCCAGGAGTTCAGGACCAGCCTGGGCAACATAGGGAGACCCCATCTCTACAAATAAATTTTAGGAATTAGTTGGGCTTGGTGGTGTGTCCCTGTAGCCCTAGCTACTTGGGAGGCCTAAGCAGAGCAATCGTTGGAGTCCAGGAGTTAGAGGTTAGTGAGCTATGATAGCACTACTGCACTCCAGCCTGGGCAACAGCATGATTCCGTATATATATATTTTTGTATGTTTATATATTTTATATATTTTTTTTTCTTAGTCCTTAAGACTGGGCCGCATACAAACACTAAGCATAACTAGCTATTATGATAATAGTAACAAAGTAAAACAAATATAAGATGTTACTCAAGGCTGGGCCCGGTGGCTCACCCCTGTAATCCCAACACTTTGGGAAGCTGAGGCGGGTGGATCACCTGAGGTCAGTAGTTCAAAACCAGTCTGACCATGGTGAAACCCCCGTCTCTACTAAAAATATAAAAATTAGCCGAGCGTGATGGCGAATGCCTGTAATCTCAGCTACCCAGGAGGCTGAGGCTGCAGTGAGCCGAGACTGCGTCACTGCACCCCAGCCTGGACGACAGAGCAAGACTCCCTCTAAACAAACAGCCAACAACAAAAACACACATTTCTTTTAAAGAAGCAAAATCAGGAACAAAAATCAAGGAAAAAGCTCTCAAAATGCTTATGTGTATAGTTTTGAATCATGACATCACAGATTAGGCTTTATGTAATCTTTTTACAGTTTGTTGTTTTTGGAGACAGGGTGTTTTGCTCTGTCACCCAGGCTGGAATGCAACTGGGCAGTCTTAGCTCACTGCAGCCTGGAACTCCTGGGCTCAAGTGATCCTCCTACCTCAGCATCCCAAGTCGCTGGGATTACAGAAGTGAGCCACAGGGCCTGGTATAAAAATAAAAGCAAGTTTTTAGATCATTTATCCCATTTTCTCTTGTTTCCTCACTGTGTGCTGAAAACAAAGAGTATGAAGAAGAGGAAGACCTGCAAATTTCCTGTGTGTCTGATGGAGTCTTTTTAGCCTGAAAAAAATAAGATACACAGACTCCAGCAGAATACCAGTGAAAGACAGAATACATGGAAATAGCCTCTATTCTCTTCTGAAAGCTTACTAAAATATTTTAATAGTAAAGGATACCAATATTTAAAAGAACCCATAAGAACAGAGTATGAGTCACATTTTGGAAAGTAGAAAGCCTTTAGATGAAAGATAATGAAGATGAATCCCAAAGCTAGCAATGGAAAGCAGAATTAACATCACAGAACTCTCAAAAAGCTCAAGTTGAACTGGTGATACCAGGTAATTGAAGATGGAGGTAAAAACGGGACTAAAAGGGGTAGGTTTAAAGGCTACATAAAAAGCAAATAGATCCCTGTACCCTTCCCTTTCTGTGTAATCAAGGAATTGTCCCTCCCCAAAGCTCGTATAAGATTTAAGCGGGTAAATGCATAATATGTGAACTGAAGACCATTAGGCACAGTTAAAAGCTTGGGCACCTTACTGAAAACAGAGGGTTTAAGTTTAAGTTTCATCCACTGAAGGTTGAGCCTGTTAAAACTTCTTTCCCTACTCTACTCCCAGAAAGCTGACTGCCTGGCTTACATCCTTGAGTAAGAGAATGTGCAAGCCTTCTCAAGGGAATCTTACCTATGTAAAAGATAAACATCTGAAATATCAGTATCATGGATTTCCCAATGTAACAGCCCAGCCAGATCACAGTAGACTGAAACCCACATTATTAATCCCCATCAACCCCTACAAACATTCAATCAGCTTTTTTGGGTCCCACTTTTTTTTTTTTTTTTTGAGACAGAGTCTTGCTGTCTCCCAGGCTGGAGTGCAGTGGCATGATGTCTGCTCACTGCAACCTCCGCCTCCTGGGTTCAAGCAATTCTCATGCCCAGTAGCTGGGATTACAGGTGTGTACCCCATACCCAGTTAATTTTTGTATTTTTAGTATAGACAGGGTTTTGCCACGTTGCCGGGCTAGTCCCGAACTCCTGGCCTTAAGTGATCTGCCTGCCTCGGCCTCCCAAAGTGCTGGGATTACAGGCGTGATCCACTGTACCCAGCCTAGGGTCCCACTCTTAAAGAGGAGCAGACTAGCAAGAATTTGAGAAAGTCTTTAATATGAAAGACATCAAAACACAGGAATAGTCAAACAATGACAAAAAACCCAAACCCTCTGGGCATTAAAAATATAGAAGAAAAAAAGGAAGCTATTTTAAATAGATAGATTAGAAAATAAAGTTGAGGAAATCTCTGAGAAGAAGAGTAAATAGAAGAGTAAAATATAAGACTATTAGGAGATAAATTCAGGAAGTCCACCATCCAAATAACTATTTTCCAGAAAGAAAAAGAGGGTTGGGATTTCCATCCTCTTTCCTCTCTTAATATCTTGCATATGTAACGCAAGAATATTTTCCAGAACTGAGGAACTTGACCTTCCATACATAAAATTCCAAACTGCTCAGCACAATAGGTGACCCACTCAAGACACGACATTGGGAAAATTTCAAAATTTTATAAAGAGAAGATCCTAAGAGGTCTGGGTTGAAGGTGAGAAGGAATGGATGCATTAAAAAAAAAAAAATGGAACAGCATTACATTTCTCAACATATGAAAGATAGGTCAATGCCTTCCTAGTCCTAAGGAAAAATCATTCCCAGTCTGGAATTCTGTACCCAGCCAACCTATCAATGGAGTATGACAAGAGACACGAAAAGTTCTCAAGAAATTTATCTCTCACACACATTTTCTCAGGAAGGCACTTAAAGGTGATAAATCAAGAAAGAAATCAGGAGATGAACACACAATGTGACAATGAAAAGACAGATCAACCCAAGAGGTATGCAGCAAACCTTGAGAGTAAACCAATCCAAAAGGAACATAAAAAAGAATTTCAGCCGGGTGCGGTGGCTCACGCAGCACTTTGGGAGGCTGAGGCGGGCAGATCATGGGGTCAGGAGTCCAAGACCAGCCTGACCAACATCATGAAACCCCGTCTCTACTAAAAATACAAAAATTAGCCGGGCGTGGTGACGCACGCCTGTAATCCCAGCTGCTCGGGAGGCTGAGGCAGGAGAATCGCTTGAACCAGGGAGGCGGAGGCTGCAGTGAGCCAAGATCACGCCACTGCATCCAGTCTGGGTGATA